AAACCCTAAACCCCAAACTGCAAACCTTAAACCTTCAACCTCCAACGAATGCAGTGCGGGGCGGCACCGTCACGCTTCGTGTCAGGTCTGCGGCTGCGGCCTCCCTCGACGGGCCGTCCTTTCAAGGCCCCTTTTTGATGGGGGGACGCGGGTTCGTTTCATGTACGAGTTTAGGGTTTACGTGTTAGGGTTTAGGGTCTCTCTTCCTTAAAGGGTGGTCATAGGGGCTCTTAGTGACTTAGTGGGTTTCAGATTTGCGTTTGAGCTTCTTGGCTTAGGCGGTCCGGGCTCTCTGACCTGAAGAGTACCGGCTTACAAGGGCTTAGGATTCAGGTTTTGGACGTTAGTAGAGCTTTGGGGTTTAGGGTTGTTGTTTAGGCGCCTCTTCTGCAAGTCGCAAAGCTAGAGATCCCACTCGGGTTGATACACTTGTGGCCCTCTTCATCCGTCGGCTTCTGGGCATAGAACAAACCTATCAACCATCTCCTTCGCGAAGCATCTCCTCCACTTGCGCACCTGACACGGTTGGCTTGCGCCAGCGAAGATGGACATCAAGGAGCCTCTCCGGTACCGAGGCCTCATGCACCGTGCCACCCTCACCACCTTCCACTTCAGCCATGAGGATCCTGATTTCCAATGGCCTACCACGAGCAAGTGGCACAGTGCACGCCACAGATTGGCCCTCAACTCCGTGTTGGACCATCAGGGTTTTGGGGTTTAGGGCTCGGGTTTAGATTTTAGTAGGGTTTAGGGCTTGAGGCTTGAAGGAATTTCCAAGGCTCGGCTTGGGGTTCTTGCTCTGCTTCTTGGGATCTCCGTCGCTTCCGGTTTGGGGTTTAGAGATTAGGGTTTAAGGTTGAGGGTTTGGGGTTTAGGGTTTCGGGTTTAGGGCTTAGGTGTAGGGTTTAGGGTTTACCCGACGAGCTAAACCCTAAAACCTAAGCCCCTGCAAACACAACTCTTTAAAGAAACCCTTGAAAAAATCATTGAAAGGAACCCTCAAAAACTCAACAGCAAGTCAAAACTACTGTAATATCGGTGCCATGCATTAGAATGACAATGGGGCCTTGGGGCGTGATGTACAAAATTAGACAACGGAACCTTCAGGAATACAAGAACAAATTATTCAGGCCCCTGCAGGATACAACCCATAAAGCCAAGCCTAAACCTTAGACTTTAAACCCTAAATCCCTGAACCTGCAGACCCCCAAGCCAAAAAAACAAAACCCCCTGAACTGGGGAAAGCCTAAACCCTAAACCCTAAATCCCTAAATCCCTAAACCCTAAACCCCCCTGAACTGGGGAGCACAAGAGCCGCCTCCTGGACTTCGAAGCTGCGGATGGGACCCCGCACGGTGCCATTCTCGAGGCCGAAGACGAGGACGGCGCCGTCCTGGCGCCGAGGGTTCCGGGCTGCGTGCCAGGGGATGTTTATGCGGTTCTATGAGGTTTCTATGGGGCAACTAGAACGGTTCTGTAAAGACTCTAGAATGCTTCTATAGGGATTCTGTGAAGTCAGGGTTTGGGTCTAAGTCTAAGGTTCATGGCTTTAGGTTCGGAGTGTAGGCTTCGGGGGTTTGGGTTTAGGTTTCGATTCAAGGGTTTGACAGGTGCAGGAGCCAGAGCTAAGGCATTGACGGCATAGATTCACGGACTGATCAGCTCCGTGTCTCCAACTGAAGTGCTGAATCTGACAGCTGGGATGAAACAAGCGGTGGACTGAGGAGCATTTATACGTGCCTAGACGCAAGCGAACATGGCATGTATGTGCACATCTATGTGCTTTGCACATTCGCGCACCCACCCACCCACCCACCCATCCACCCACCTAGCCAGCCAGCCATCCATCCATGCATGCATGCTGCCTGTGTACGTACGTACATGCATACATACATACATACATACATACATACATACATACATACATACATACATACATAAATACATACATGCATACATGCACACATACATACACACATACATACATACATACATACATACATACATACATACATACATACATCCGTACATACGTACATACATACATACATACATACATACATACATACATCCGTACATATGCACATATGTGAAACATACAGTTACGCATGCTTTCAAGCACGCGTATGTATGTATGCATCCATGCACTTATGCATGTATGCACATGTATGCACATGTATGCATGCATGCACATGTACGTATGCAGATATGCATGTATGCATATATGCACAAGTATGCCCACGCATGCATATGCACATGCATGCACATGATATGCGCATGCATGCACATGTACGCATGCACAGATGTATGCATGTATGCACATACCTGTATGTATGTATACATATCTACATATGCAACATGTGTATGTATGTATATATATATATATAGGTATACAAAAATGGAAGAATGAACGAACGAACGAACGAACGGCGGAACGAAGGAAGGAAGGAAGGAAGGAAGGAAGGAAGGAAGGAAGGAACTTATACATGATTCCATGATATTAGATAATGCCTCCACACATCCAACAGATCCATGCATGCAGCATTGCTGAGATATTTCGGAACTCAGCTCGTGAAGAAGACTTTTCTCCAACTTTCGAGTGCTTATGGTAGCTTCGAGGAATCCGGGTGGTGGAGAAGAAACATGACCTGCCAACATCCTTCAAAGCCCTGCACTCGAAGAGCTCGTCCAAGAAGTTCTGCAGGCCAGCGGCTGGAGACTCGGCTTCGTCTGAGGATCGCTGCGAGAGTCGTTTGAAACTCGACTTCGGCAAATCCACAAACTGAAGTCACATCAGGCCTTTAGAGACCCCGAGTCGCGATGCCAGCGATGCATGCCATCTTCTTCGCCAATGCTGGAGATTGAGACGCGCACCCTACCAGCCGTTGAGACCGTCACTTGGCAGCTTCAGCCGGCTTCTTCAACACAGCGTGAATCAAAGCGCCCTCTTGGATGTTGTAATCCTGCGCAGGAGTACTGCCAAAATGCACCCAGAAACGATTCGTACTTAGCTGGAGGGAGACTGGCACTCTAAGTACTTTCTTGCAAGCTGACAAGCATTCCGGGGATGAAGTCCGTCCAGGTGCGGCCACCATCCAGCTGGCAGCCTTACGTGCAGGAGCATTTCTGGACACGATTGTGAATGCCTTTACGGCGGTGGTGATGATGATGGTGGTGGTAAGCGTTGCGGCATCAATGGGAAATTGCAGTCGCACTGGCCCTCCTGCGATGCAAACCGTCGCAACCCCAAAGCCACCAACAATCGTAAAAACACCAACCCCCCCTCCAAAAGAAAAAGAAGCTGAAACCCTGAGACTGAAGCCGAAGCCCTAGAAATCATAGTTTTGTAGAAATTCTGATACCGCAACAACCACTTGACCTTTAAAACCCGAAACACCAAATCCAAAACACATGAGCCCCGAAAGCCACAACACAGCAAAGGATCATGACGTGTAAAAACCCAAGCCCTTCAAAATCCCCGAAGCCCTGAAACCCTGAATCCCAAATACTCACGCCTCGCACATCTCCGAATTCCCAGCTGGACATACAGCACTCCCCAAAACCCAAAACAGCCATGACCCGAAGACTCTGAGCCCCAACAATAGATCCGCAAAGCGCAGCTCCCAGGCCGAAAAAGGACTCACCCCAAACCCCAAACTCCCACAAACCGGAGCCCGAACACCCTACCCCAAACCTCTGAACCCTACTACTCGGACCCCTTAAACTTCTTAAAACTGCAGTCTCGAAGCCGGAGGCGATAAACCGCTGGTTGTCAGGCTCCGTGCCAGCTTTCTCCTGGACCAGGGTCGCTTGAACTGCGAAGCTTTTGGGGTTTAGGGCTTCAGGATGTAATTCGGGTTCTGGGGTTGAGGCTTTCAGGATTTAGGGCTTTGGGGTCTAGGGCTTTGGAGCTTAGGGTTTAGACGTTGGGGGTTTAAGGTTCTTGGGCGTCGGGTTTAGGGTTCATCGGTTGGGGTTTGATGGTTTGGGGCCTGGGGAGACAGAACTTTTGGGTCTTGAGCTCTGCTTCTTCCGCTCCCACAGCCTTTGCAAGGCCTTAAACAGCGGTTCTAAAGGGATTTAGAGGGTTTAGGGCTTGTGGATCTAAGGGTTTAGGGCCAAGTTTAGGGAATTGATCTGAGGATCTCGGGCTTTGTTGCCTTAGGGCTGAAAGCTTGGGGCAAGCCTCTGAGTCCACCTCGGCCTCTAGAAGCCCAGAGTTTCAGTTGGCCTATGGTTTATTATATTATATTATATTATATTATATTATATTATATGATATTATATTATATGATATTAAATTATATGATATTATATTATAGTATATTATATTATATTATAGTATATTATATTATAGGGTCTAGGGTTTAGGGTCTACAAAGTCAAAGTCGTTTGATCACAGCCGTCGGGGAACGTTCTCCAAGAGGCTTGGAAGCGGCGGGCTGCTTCGGGTCCCAGGGGTTCTGCGCATGGTTCAATGACCCTAAACCCCAAACCCTAAACCCGAACCCCCAGCTCTATGCCGCAAGGGCTTGGACACAAAGACTCCACCCTGAAACCTTTTGGGCTGTTCCGCTCCTGCCAGAATATAAGTCTCTTGTTAGATATCCGCGAAACCCTGTTCGAATTGATTGAGGAACTTTTTGGGGGTGAAGGCTTTGTTTATTGGGGCTGGGCTGCCTGGATGGCTTCTTTCAGCTTGTCCACATCCTCGTTCGGATCGACCTGGAGAAGATCCGCTGGATTGTGGAGTACTAAGGGTCACAAGTTCAAGGTCTAAGCTCAGGGAATTTAGGGCCTAGGGTTCAGGGTTTAAGGCTGAAGATCCAGGTTCTAGGGCTCAGGGTTTAGAGCCGAGGAAGGGGGGGGAAGGTTTCGCTCACGACTGGCGGCTTGCAGCCATCCAACGAGGCGCACAGTAGCAGCAAAGCTTAGAAGAGCCTCTGCTTCCCGAACTCCAAAAAAAGACACATCGAAACCGAGAACGAGGAAGAACTGGGATTGAACGGCCAGTGCAAAAGGCGTACGAACGAGCAGTGTGTCTGCAACACAGGACATGCTGAGGCAAAGGACACAGAAAAAAGTACGTCGCATATTGACAGTAGCCGACCATCGTTGAAGTAATGATGCGGGCGTACATCACAGCTTCACGATGCATCAAGCAATTCCATGTTAGGCCAATGATCCGATGCAGCGTGGCGAGCAGAAGGGAACGAAACGTTGAACCTGGTCAGCTGCTGTTCGTTGGACGTTGACGTAGACACTCATAGCTTTCGACACGGAAAGACTATGAGGTGCGAAAACAACAACAGTTTTCCCAGACTTCTTCGCCAGACAATGGAGGGACGAAGGAAAAAATGCATAGGTGCGACACAAGTAATTCCGAGGAAACAGGCGACTGCCAAGCATCAAGGAATCAAGGACATGAGTAATGCAAGGAAGCATCACCAGTATCTGAACAAGCGCTTGACCGGATATTCAGCTGCAGAACCGACCTAAGAATCACGAAAAAATATCGAAGAACACAGAACGCAATAGATGACGTGCCGGAAAGAGCTGCACGCTCCTTCGGGAACAACTAGGGAAAGGTAACCCTACAATCTATACTACAGTCGCATGGTAGCGCTTACGATTCCCTCAATGGATCTATAAACAACAGCTGCAACCGATGGGAAACAGACTAGGTGACTAGGCGCTGGCACTACTGCAGGGATGCTCTACATGTAGGATCGGCCAAAGATCCAAAAGCCTGACTACAGCCGAAACGTATCGAAAGCGCAGACTTCCCTCAAGGGGGTAGTGACCTGGTTTCCATCGGAGAGCAGCCACGACAAGCACCTCCGGCTAAACAACAAAAACCGGCCTTAAACGAAAAAGGGAGAAACTGATCTCAAGTTTCAACAAGAGAAGCCCTTAAACCCAAAGCTGACTGTCCTAGAGACGCCAAAAACCCTCACATCCCTCAGTCGCGAACTGCTGGGAACCCAACCTCATGCTGCAGCTTTACGAGCCCAGAAGGCGTCATGATCTGCACTTTCAGCTTCATTGCCGCTTGGGAGCGCTCGTCCCGGAAGTCTAGGCTTTTAGACTTGGGCGTTTTGGGGGCCCGTTGTGGGCGCCACTCACTAAGGTGTAAGAAGTGAAGGCTTTAGGATCCGTAGGTTTAGAGTTTAGAACTGAGAATGCAGGGCTTAGGGTTCAGGAACAAAGCCTTGGAGATTAAGGTTCAGGATTCTGGCTTGGGGTCTTCAATAGTATCCTCTGTTGCCACATCGCGTCACACGACCGCATGCACTCTGCATCTATGTCACTATGTGCAATGGCATAGTTGGTGGAAGTGACTGCATGTCGCTGCCTTTTCTCGCATGTCCCTAGGCCCTCGTACATGTTGTCGTCTGCATCAACTCGAACCCCTAACACCAGCTACCAGCTGTTGTGCTTATAAGTGTCGAGAGATTGCTTTTGCGCGGATGGCTGCGGCATCAGCAAAAGACTTTGATGTGAGCAACTCCTCTTGTCCACCTCTGAATCTCAGAACGCCCAGCCGAAAAACTTGAAAACCTGAACGCGACACCCTAAAACAAAATCCTACAACCCCGACAGTCCAAAATCCTTCAACCTGAACACCAAACTCGAAACCTAAAACCCTGTAACGAATACAACACTAACAGTCTAACACGTTGAAGACCCCACCCCCCGGCACCTAAGATTCCAAAACTCCCCAAACCCTAAAGCCTGGCGTTTCACACCCCTTCTCCTGAAACCTAACACCGCTACAACCCTAAAGGAGTTAACCCTATAGCCCTGGACACTGGCACCCTGCCTCTTGTTACACCACGAAAACCGAAGCCCCTAATACAGAGCCCTCCATAAGATTATGGATGAAGTCTGACACGGAACCCTCTAGAATGATATTGGTAGCCCTAAACCCTAAACCCTAAACGCCCCCTCAGTCGGCCGAGGCCTGGCAGCCCACGGCCATATCTTGTCGGGTCGGTTCGGAGCCTTCCCTGGCACTGAAGCTGGTCAGGGGCGAGTGGCTCCTGGAAAGGGCTGATAGGTTTCTGTAGGATTCTACCCGAAACCCCCCTAAACCTTAACCTGATTTCGCGATCGCCTTGTCGTGACCCCAAAGTCGGGGCTTGTTACAAGTAGGAGTCAAAAGTACTTACTGGTCGGCGCGCTATCGGCGGTCCTTTTGGTTTAGTGCCCGAAGGCCGACGTGTTTGGGCTTCGAAGGCTTCGGGTGTCTAGAATGCAGGGTCCAGCGTCTACATGTTTGTAAAAAAAATACCCTGGGCTACAGTCCTAGACACCACGCCGCCAAACCGCACGTTCCGAAAGCCTTGAACCGCCTGAGATCTGTCTGTAAGTCCCCTCACAAGGCTGATGTCCTGACTGCCGCGACCACGGACTCCTCCCACGTGAAGGGCTTATGGGGGTAGGGCTTAGAAGTTGTTATCAGGCTGCATGCGGTTTTATAGGGTTTTGTAACGTCTCTCTAGTAGGACTTTGAAAGTTTGGGTAAGGATTTGGGGTGTGGGGCTTAGGGGTTAGACGTCGAGGCGCAGGGCTTCGGGCAGATTCTCGATGTTTCAAGATTTTCAATTAACGACCTGCTGGGGTTCGCTGGATCAAGCTTTCTCTGGAACTCTCAACCGTAAACCTGAAAACCCTGCACCGATCACGCAGTGCAGAGCAAACTTTGATTGGTTGGCGTTAAGGTCTACGGGTTCAGGTTTAGCGCTCGCAATATGCAAAACCTGCAAGCTCTTTCCAACGCGGTAAACGTGCTGTGTCCGGTCCAAGTTTGGCAACTTGTGTTGCTCGCTGCGTGCGCAGGCTTCCTGAGTTCGGAGTTACCTCAACAAGTCTTAACCCTAAACTCGAACCGCAACCACTAAAGCGCTACCCGAAACTGGCCCGAAACCCTAAACCCAAAGCCTTATACCACACCGGCGGACCAACTCGAAACTCCGAAAACCTTTTGCCCATGGAGTGCAAAGGCCAACAGAACTACCAAAAGAATGGCTTGGTTCGGGTTTAGGATTTAGGGGTTAAGGTTTGGGGCTCAGGGTTTAGAGGTTTAAGGGCGTAGGGTTCCGGTTTTAGGGTTTACGGCTCCCTCAGCCCTGGATAGGTCATGAGCTTCCTCCCTTCGATGCAGAGACATTGCTTCCAAGGCCTTAACCCTCAGATCCGCCCCATACAACCCTAGAGGGGGGCTTCGGGTTTTAGGGGTCAAGGGCTTAAGGCTTTGAGGCTTTAGGGGTTTAGGGGGTTTCGGGTTTTCAGGATATGGCATCCTAGCTGGCAAACCCAAGTTCTGTTCATTTCTGCCCTTGTGGACATGGACCACCGTCACGAGGATACGTCTGCCACGCCAAGGGCCGATGTACGGTTTACAGGTTTGTCTAGGGTTTAGGGTCCCAGACTTGGGAATTGAGCTTGGGGGTGTTGGTCGGGTTTGGGCTTCGGGGTTAATGATGCAGCTTTGGGTCCAGGATTCGATTCCTGACAATTTTGGCTACAGGTTTAAATCGGGTGCTGTTTAGGGTTTAGGGTTTAGAAGGGTGCTGGCTGGTGCAACCCTGTATGTGCCTCAGCTAGGTGCGAACTCCTTACAAGGCCATCAATAACAAAGCTTCCACTAAGCTGAGACCCCTAAACCCCCCAGTTCTCCAAACTCCCAACCCCAACCATGCAACTTAAGAGAAACATCGCTGACATCCGAAACCCGAAACAATCAGGGACCCTTCTACTTGCAACACTCTACCAATACTATTCGAAACTCTAAAGGGGTGCCGTTGCTAATTGGTCTGACCCATGACAACATGTCAGCGTGGTGCGCGGACCCCTCCTCGAGCCTCTGCTTTCCAGGTGGATTCGAAATTTCAATTTCAGGTCAGGCCGTCGCGACCCTAAACCCGAAGCCCTAAATCCTAAACTCTTGAAGAAGGGCTTCTATGGCCTTGGTTGGTTTGGGCTTTGAGGCTTTAGATATGGGTGTTGGGGGCTTTTGAAGGTTTCGGAGCTTTGTACATGTCACCAAACCGCCTGGCTTTGGACACACATTTCAGACACTAACCTTCTTTCCATCCTGTTAGTACAACTCTAGTCGAACATTTGCTCTTTTTTACAAACCCTCTTTCGAGCAAGAGGGAGGCGTAATATACTGTGAGTATTCAGAAACTATAAGAGCATATTCCTACCAGGAATTATTCAAGCCCCATTATGATAGAGACCATGTCAGATCTCTCTTCCTGCAGGGATCGGCCCCCGAATCCGGCCATCGTCTTCGTGCGGCCCAGGGAGTCAGGGCGAGCTGGCACGGGCAGAAGCATCATGGAGCTCAAGGCTCTCGTGCTCCATGTTGCGCGGCTGTATTTTTCGGTGTCCGTATGCGGCTTCGTCTTCGGGGGTTTCTATTGATTCGGATGCAAGGCTTTGGGCTTAAGGTTAAGGCTTGCTGATACTGTGCTCACACCCAACCGCCGCAACCGCTCTCGAGCTGAGGCCCTGGCTTCCGGTAAAAAACACAAGCAGCCAGAGCACGCTGCCGTGGACAAGAGAGCTACAACTTGTGAGTCTCAGTTCTAAGGGCTTAGGGCTTCGATGGTGTCGTGGCAGATCTGGTCCACCGCACTGCCCGCTGCAACTTCTACGAGCGTGATTGCGCAGCAAGCCATGGTCTGGTGCAAACAGCAGAAGTCGGGTTCTGGGTTCTATCAAATTTTAGAACCGTAAATCCTAAACGCCTCGTACACGCACAACTCATACAGCCTCTTCGCCACTCTAGGCCTCTACCTCGGGCATTGAAAGCTCCCAACTTTGGGACGCAAAATCAGCTTGTTCCGCTGCGCGTCTTTACCACCACAAGGAATGCAGGCGAATTGCGGGGTATAGTATCTGCCAGCCACCGTGCATGAAGATCATAACGTATCTGATATATGTTGAGATGTCGACATTTGGCAGGAACGCAATTTGAAAACTTGCACGAGGAGGCCTGGGGCCATGAGGGCTGCTGCCTCGAACCTAGTTGGTAGACTCGACAGGCCACTATAAGGATCCCGAACTTGAACGACATTATAGGCTACTCAGACACCCTAAATCCTTGCAAGGTCCAAGCCACAAATCCTTCGAATCCCTACACACGAAGAGTGACCGAAGCTCGCGCAAAGACGCTCCTCCCACTCGCTGCTTTGTGGTGGCTCAGTGGGGGAGTGCTCTATAGGAGGCTCCAGAAGCCCTCTGGACATCCTCGAGCCGACTCAGGGTTTGGGGGTTGGGCTTTAGGGTTTTCGGGTCTAGGGGTTCGGCTTTCAAAGTTCAGGGGCGTTTCCGGTGACCCCGAACCAAAGCCCGCAAAGCCTTAACAGCCGCTTCCAAGCTGGTACTGGGCCGCTCTGTGCGCCAGGGTGATTAGACGATGGTGAACTGTCCCACGTTCTTGAAGCTTTCCTTCAGCCGCCTGCTCTAAGAGTCGGATCCTTCCTCACCTTTTCTTCCGGACGTCGGCTCGAGAGCTGAGGGGTTTCGGGGAGCCACAGAGCTTTGGGGCCGAGGCCGCGGAGCCGCCACCAGTTGCTTCCTTGATCGGATCCGGCGTCGCAGGCTTGGGGCTGTGGCCGAAAAGGGCAGCAAGAAGTGATGGCGATGGCTGTTCGCTGGCTGCAGCTGGTCATCAAGAACCCAGAGAGACGTAGAGAATGAAAAGAAGTGGGCTGAAAAAGTAGCCACATGTACCAGTAACCCGTCCTAATAGACAGCGAAGGCAAGTCCTAGTGCTAGTTGTAGTGGCTGTGGCAGTGCGGTAGTGATGACAGCAGCAGCAGCAGCAGCAGCAGCAGCAGCAGCAGCAGCAGCAGCAGCAGCGGCAGCAGCAGCAGTACTAGAAATAAGTATTCATCCATTCCCAATGCTGCACAACGATCCGGCCTGCATGGCAAGCAGTAGCAGAAGTAGACTTAGCAGCGGCAGCACTAGCACTATTGTTGTAGTGATGGAACTCGTTGTGGTGGTTGAAGTAGCAGTAGCAGTAGCAGTACCGGTGGCCGTGGCCGTGGCCGTGGCCGTGGCGGTCGCTCTCAGAAACATTAGCACAGCTGCACTAGCAGCAGGACGAAGACGAGAAGTAGTACTAGTAGAAGCAGTAGAAATAGTACTGTGGCAGTAGTGGTAATAATAATAAGAGTAATAGTAGTAGTGGTAGGAGAGGTAGCAGCAGTAGTAGTAGTAGTAGTAGTAGTAGTAGTAGTAGTAGTAATAGTAGTAGTAATAGTAGTAGTAGTAGTAGTTGTTGTTGTTGTTGTTGTGGTAGTATTGTAGTTGTTGTTGTGGTGGTGGCAATAGGAGCAGCCGCGGCGGCAGCATCAGCAGCAGGCTAGTCGCGGTAACTGCAGTAAACAAGATTGATCACAGAGCAGAAGAAGAAAAATGTCGTCAGGGAAAGCCACAGTGCAGGCCTAGAACACCGGATCACAGTTCATTTCAGGGACGTTGCATGAATTCGGAATCGAAGCCAAGAAACGCGGCGTGCTTGTATTGTGCCGGCAGCCTTCGTCTGGTGTGTAGGCCCCTCGCTTCAGCACAAAGCCTTTCTGGATGACTAGGCGTACTGCAAGAGGGTGGCTATCAATCTGTCCCAGAGCTTGCTGAAGTCAGGCGTCGATGATGCGCAGCATGCGCACTACCTCACGGATTTCGCCTATTGGGTTGCCGGTCTCAACTTGAAAGAGGTTGAGGTGGCTGAAGGTTGGAAGCACTACAGACGATTCAGCCCATGGAGTGGTAACAAAAATTCGAAGCTTGGATCATTTTCTGCTAGGGCTCATGGCTCAACGGGCAGAGGCTCAGCGCTTCGAGCAGATCCCGGTAATTTTAGAATCCAGGCGGTTTAGAAGCTTAGGGTTTACGACACCTCAGCTGCGCTGCCGCGGCAGCGGCTCCCTCACCGCATCGATTGCCCGCGCCTTCGCCCGGCAGATCGGACATCTTCGGTCCGACTGGCAAACCCCCACGGCGCACAAGTGGCAAACCTCGCAGTGTATATACGCATGGTCGTGCCAAGAGGATCGGACGTAAAGACTCACCGGAAAGTAGGACTGTGAGGATGCAGGGTAGTGTTGGATATAGAGATTTTCGTCTAAGACTTGTACCTGGAGGATTTGCGACGCAATAGAGGACGTCGTGGCGGTAGCTGTCGTACTGGTAGTGGCAGCGGCAGCGGTGATCGGAATTTGTACTAGTGGTGGTGGGTCGAGATGGTGGTGGCGGTAGAAGTAGCAATTGGACGACTAGTACGGGTAGTAAACGGCAACAACAGTAAGACTCATGATGGTGGCGGTGCTGGTAGTGGCAGTGGTGGAGGCTGTGGCGGTGGGCGGTGGCGGTGGCGGCGGCGGTGGCGGTGGTGGT